ACACCTGCTTGTCTGCAGAGCAGAAAGGGAAAGTAATGTTTTGGAAAGTGTGCTGGCCAGCAATGAGTACTGCTGATGAAATCTGACCTAAATGATGAGGGGGTGCAGAAGAATGGAAGCCCAGAGCCTTTTCTGTCGGCACTCTGCACGCTCTGTCCTCAGTGTTATCTGTAAAAAGTATATAGAGGAGAAGCTTTTATCGCAGGTGGATGGGAATTTCTTTTTTATGCCCCATGTGGCTTAGTGAAGGTGGGCAGATAGAGCTCTATCGCACTATGGATGCTTGGAAAGCTTTGGCTATATCATTCATAAGATTTTTATTAACTGCTGAACATCTGCCCAATGAACACCCGTTTCCTCTGCGGAGACGGCCAGTTTCGCTGGAATGGTGCCTCTAAATTTCTTGCAATGGGTATTGATGAGAGTGCCTGTGATGGACAGGAGTCACTCGCAGGATGGTCTCCGCCTCCCTTGGTGCTCCCTGAGATGGACTCTAAGCTCACCATGACTTAGCATTGAATCAGTGCTTATGAATAAGCCATAATAAACTTTATGCCAATATGAAGACGTAAGGGTGGCACTCTGATATTAGTGGTAAAAATAAATAATTGATACTTCATTGCTCCCCGTGGGGGAATTCTCTTTGCGCCTCCCTCATCTTGCTCTCTGTAGGTGAGAGAAAGCTGGCCGTGAAGGGCAGCCACCCATTACAGCGCCCAGGGAGCTGGGGGTTAAGGCCCTTCTACAAGGACCTGCAAATGTGCTTAGGCTGGGCTTGAACCAGCGACCCACTGATTAAAGGCACAGAGGCTTAGCCCACTGAGCCACGCGCTGCCCCTGTTGATGAAGGGGCAACAGCTTTGGCTTGTGAGAGGAACATGGTAAAACGCTCACGCAGGAGGCCTTACTACTGCTTTTTTTGGTCCTGCTAGTTGCATTGTGCCTTGGTGAACAGGACTGGTGCTTCTGGGGCATAGCACAGCAAACTGCAGCGTTTGGCAGCTCTGAACCGCATCTTCAATTATAGTTTAGGAGCTGGAAATTGATTGTGAGATGATGTTTGCGGCTATGGCAAGTCGCTACGTGAGGCTTTGACATGGGGGGTGGGCTGGGGTGCGCTCTGAGTTACGTAGCTAAGGCATGGTCCTCTGCTGGGCTGCCATCCTCAGGGCTAGACATAAGGATTTAGGAGGGCACAGCCACTTTGGCCTTGGCTATTCATATTTTTTCTAGGGCACAAGGCCATTAAGCCTGGGCACAAGGCCAAAATCTGGAAATTTCATAGGACACCTCGGGCCTTGTGGAGGAATTTTATTTCCATAAAGGATGCATTTTTTTATTTTCAAAAAAGCAGAAACTTTGCAAAAAGGAATTGGGTCAATAC